CAAACCCACATACCCCCCCCATCCCCAAAAGTTTCTCAGCGGATTTGGGCTGTACTCAGCGAGCGCAGTACAGCTTCCAACTCAGATCTGAAAAAAAAACAGTGGATGGCTGTTTTCTGACTGGTCGGCAGACCGCCGACGGGTCGGCCCTACTGGTCCTCTGCAAAACGGTCGGCAGTCGGGATCGGCGGTAGGCAGGTATCCAAGCACGGGGGGGGGGGACAATTGCTACAGTCTATTTGTGGGGAGCAGCAGGTGCTGGGAACGCGGCCCAGCGTGAGCAACTGTTTACTGTACTTTTTGGCTTTCAACCTCTGGTCTTGGAATCAGCTTGGATTCCATCCTGTGTTTATGGGATAAGTTCAGGTAGTGACAGGACACACACTGACGTTCTAACAACTGCGGCATGCAGGTACCTGAGAGTAGTGCGGAAGCATCAGTTGGAGATATCGCAGCCAGCACTATATCCTGATGTTGGAATAACTTGGGAAATGACCAGGCGGCAAGTTGGAAAGGAGATGCATACGTAAGTGCGGAATAAAGCCCCTGCGTAAGGATGACACACTTTTTTTTTTTTTCTTAAAAAAAACAGAACCTTTGGGTTCCGGCTCCTTTTCCATTCTGGGGAGKGTCAGTCCGGTTCCTATTCCACCGGCAAGTCAGAAAGGAATACAATGTATACTCACTCACGCTCCTCCCCCTCATGGTGTGGAGGCCCGAAGGACAGCATTGATTACCTCACAAAGGAGGGATGTACCACCCTTCACCCCTGCCTAATTTAGCCTGTTCTACTGTGTTTCTGCTCTTACCCTATTTTGGTGCTAAACCCCTAAACCCTAGGTGTCTGCAACTTGTCTATGGTCTATCTCTGTCGGATGTTTCTGAATAGAAGCTGTCGAATAAACCTGTAGTGGTTGCTGGGGTCGGTCTGTAATCTTGGGAATGGGTCTGTTTGACAATCGATTGAGGTTTTCTTCGTGTGATTTGAGCTGAGGTTTTGGGGTTACTGTGCTGGGGGGGATTTTGGGCTAGTACAATGTGTTGGGTAATATAAGGGGGGTGTGGGGGAGGGTGGGGGGCGAGGAGGTTGGAGTGAGTATTGATGTAAAGAAGGTCGCATGGGGGGGGAGAAGTAAGTTTGTTGGGGGGACAGGGGTTTTCATTGAATCGGCTATGGGTTAGTGATACGTTGCTGGTTTGTTGGATGTTGTGCGGGGTTTAGTGGGGTTGTAGAGTTGTCTTGTGTCTGTGTTATGATTCACCAATTTTGTAGGACGAGTCGGCCGTTATTGATTGTGCCAAGTAGGCCATTGCTTAGTTTGGAGGTAGAGAACTTTTTAATTGTATCAACTTTTTTGTCGGGGTCGGTGGGGAGTTTGTTGAACTGTTTCTTCCAGAGTGCGTGTATCTCGGTGTCTATTAGTTGTTTGATGGTGATGAGTGGGTTTGCCGGGGTGCCGAAAATAGCACCACCCATTAACCACGAGTGGAGCCGGTCCTCGAAGGTGTTGTCGCATCCATTCTTCCATATGGTCCAGATGGTACTTTTCTTGATTAGGGAGGAGAGGAAGGCTTCAAAGCCTTTGAGAGGTGGTGTTTGTTTAAGATCGAGGAATAGTGTGGCTGGGTTGATTAGGAGGTGAGAGCTTGAGAGTTTGTACCATGATGTTTCTAGGGCTTGCCAGAGGGATCTGGTCTTTGGGCAATCTATGAAGCAATGGTTTAGTGATTCTGGGATATCGAGGTTACATACCTTGCACCAGGAGTCTTGTTCAATGTTGTTATCGTGCTTGTGTCTACCGCTCAACCATTGATTTACTGGGACTGCTCTGTAGGCTATTAGCCATTTCAGGCTGGCTAGCTTAACCGGTCTTGTGGAGAAGATCGTTGTCCAGGGAATTCATTGTTTTTGTGGATGGGTTTCCGTTCTCGTCTTGTAGGCATTCTATTTTAGAGTTCCCGGAGTTGGCTTTGATCTTTTGGAAGAAGAATTTGGTCATTTTTTCCTTTAGTTCCCAGTTTTTTACTCTTGCCCTTAGGTGGAGACCATTGAGTTTTAATTTGATCCATTCGGCCAGTTCTTCCTTGGATTTGTCCAATAGTTCTGCATAGAATGTTGAGTTCGGCTGTTTCTGCAATTGTATTTCTGCTATTTCTATCGCATTTCTCAGTGCTTCTTCTCTTTGTTTTCTTTGTGTCGTTAATTTTCTGGAGGCTTGTGCTGCTTTTTTGCTAATGTTCTTAATAATTTGAGGGAATTTAGTGTATATGTCTTCTTGTGGTTGTAGTTCCGTTCGAATATTTAGTAGTGTTTGAAGCTCCGTTTGGAATGAGTGACTGTTGAGGAGGGCGTTGTTGAAGCGGTAAAAGCTCTTACCTGTGTATCCTTCCTTAGCAAGTCTGAGTGATAAGAGCTTTGTGATCTAAACCTTTGTGGTATGGGTTGTCTTGGATGGTGCAGTCTTGTATGGCCCCTGTTAATGAGTCAGATGCTAGGAAGAAATCTATTTGGGAGAAGGATGTTTGTCGTAGAGAAGTTTTCCTATGCAGGGGTATTTTTTATTTTCGGGGTGTAAGGATGACACATAAATCGAGATATGGTCCAAAATTTCAACTTTCGGCAAACAAATATCTTGGCCCGCGCAATGATCAAGAGCTCAGCACAATGCGATACTTTATGTGAATTGCACAACTCCATGAGCCCATCGGTACTTTGAACACACTTGGCACCCAAGGCTTCTCCCAAGGACACGCCTGCCTGAGCATCAACAACAACAACAACAACAACAAAAAGTAGTGCTGTGGGTGGCCAAGCATGCACATGCAAATAGAGACCGGACCTCACGATTTGGAGTAAGACATTATTAAAAAATAGTAATAATGCTAAGTAGTAAATAGCATCCTTATGGTGCATCGCATACCTGCAAAGTGTGCGCATGCAGAGCATACCCTGCACCAGTCTGATGCTCCCTGCTTATGGTTCCTGTGCACCTAAAAATACAAAAAAACTTGAACAAGGGTCTCAACAGTTTCCAGAAAAAACATGCGGTCACATGGCGGTCATACTGGGAGAGGCATAGCAGCCTTGTGTTGTCCTTTGAACATCGCAGGAGCTGGGCTGGGTTCCAATGGTCTGCCATAGCCACTGGCTCGACCTAGATGTAGAGGAAGGTGAAGAATTTGGACATCGATACAGGTGTTCATGCATTCATTCATTGTTACTAACTTACAGTTACGTACTGTTATTATTATGATTAATAAGATGTTGGGAGAGATGGTGCAAGAGATGAGGGAGGATTGAGATGTGGGAGGGAGATATTATTATAAGTATTCGTAAGATGTTGGGGGAGGGAAATGGTGGCAAGATGAGGGAGGAGTGACATTTGTTTCTTCTTCTTCTTCTTCTTCTTCTTCTTCTTCTTCGTCTTCGTCTTCGTCTTCGTCTTCGTCTTCTCCTCCTTCGTCTCCTCCTTCGTCTCCTCCTCCTTCTCCTCCTCCTTCTCCTCCTCCTTCTCCTCCTTCTTCTCCTCCTTCTTCTTCTCCTTCTTCTCCTCTTCTTCTTCTTCTCCTCCTCTTCTTCTTCTTCTTCTTCTTCTTCTTCTTCTTCTTCTTCTTCTTCTTCTTCTTCTTCTTCTTCTTCTTCTTCTTCTTCTCCTCCATTCCTCCTCGTCCTTTGTCTACTTCTCTTTTCAACCTCTTTCATTTTAGTTGCAATTAAACGGCATTGTGTTTCTTTGAGTTTTGCACTGTGAGATACTTGGGTAATGCCGTTCTTGGAGCATGAAAAGCTAAAATTGTTTCGGTTTTGGCAGTTCCCTTCTCTCACCATGATGTTGTTTGCTTTGTTTGGTGCGTTTCCCGTGATCCATCCTCTCAGGATGACGAAGGAATTGCCTGGGCAGTGCCAGAATCAGTATGCTCCTCCTTGTGCTGGGTAAGGTTGTGATTCCTTCATCCCTCCCTTGCGTACATGGGTACGTGGCACAAATCTGTGGGGTCAGGGTGGGGGAAAAGTTTGTGTGTGGGTGGGTCGGTGGGTGCGTGCGTGGGTGTGGGTGTGTGTGCGTGCGTGCTTGGGAGTGTGTGTGTGTGCATGTGCATGTGCGTGGGTGTGGGGGTATGTGTGCCTGCGTGGGAGTGTGTGTGTGTGTGCGTGCGTGCGTGGGAGTGTGTGCGTGTGCGTGCGTGCGTGGGAGTGTGTGCGTGTGCGTGTGTTATAGATTTGTGTGTGTGTGTGTGTGTGCGTGTGCATGTGTGTGTTTTAAATTTTCCCCACAACAGCCCCTATTCCACCCAGATGAGTAGATGCAAAGTCGAAGCAGCTTTAATCCTATTGCAGACAACGAAGGCCCTTGAGTTGAGACAATCCAACCAGCACAGTTTCACGTCTATAGCAAGCAACATGGAGTATAATACAAGCATTCAAATCCCTTTCTTAATTGTGTTCACTTTTACTTTCTTTGGGATAGCCCTTTCATTTGTTCTTGCAGCTCCCCTTTTACAAGGCTCGCCACGTTGATTGTGGTCGAGTGCGAGCTGCCCACATCCCCGTGTGCCACAACTGCCCACTTGCACACCGTGAAAGGAGGCAGAGTAAAGGTGGAGGTATATTACTGTTCGTTTTTCCTCAGATTTCCTCAGATCTCCAGCCTATATTTTTCTCTGTTCTCTTAATGATGCTCATTCGTATGCATTTACTAATAGTACACAGGAAGAGGGAGGAAGGAAATGGGAGGTGGAATTCTGACAGAGTTCTAAATAGTCTCCGCTGGAGCAGACTACTCTAGAATGGCACGTAAGGCCAGTCAGTGTTTGGGTTGCATAAGATTTTGAATTGAGGAGCAGTCGTTATGAGCACTGCAAGGCATGCACGGAAAACACGCCAGAAATGATAACCCACTGTCTAATACACTGTCACAACGCACAGCAAATGTGGAAAACGGCTAAAGAATTATGGGTAGAGGTCTCAGACGCCCATTCCCAGCCGGCACAGGATTACTATTAACAGGGAACGCCGCCCCTTCTGCCTGGACAATGTTCGAGAAAAGGAGCTTTCAGCTACTCAGACAATACGGACTGTGGCTGATGTGGAAGAGAAGATGCCAACTAATGATCGATCGATAATTCACACCTACCCATACAAGATGCCCAGGTGATCCTCAGAAATTTGCTGGAAACAGACATCAGAGCACAATGGAGCAGGACGAGAAGGAAGATCCAGCACAACCAAGAAAACGCTCAGGAGGAATGCACCAAAAGATTCTCTCAACTCGTTCTCGCGCAGGGGGAGGTAGCAACTTTACTAGACCACAAAATGCAATTTGAAATTTAAATGGGGGCGAACAGCAAGCACCTCGGAGGATAAGAGACGGAGACATCAGCAGTAGCGGATCGGAAACAAGCTCAGGGAATCAGTGAGAGGGGAAGGGGCAAGGAGGGTCTAGGGTTCAAGGGGGGGGGTTGGAGTAAGTAGGTCACGAAGTTGGCAGGAGGCTTTCCTCTCTCCTCACTTAGATTAGGCCAACTCTGTTATAGCCAGACTTACACACAATGGGACACTGGACCCGGTTTCCAGCTAAGCCGAAGCTGAGTAAGGAGACAGAATTTCAGGGTCGAGACGGGGGATTGCTGGGCAGATGGTTAGGACAAGGGGCCTAGAAACATATTAGAAGCATAGTAGACTTAGGATTAGGGCAAGCACCTATTCCCAGGGGGGGCTTCTTGAGGAATTGTCAGAACCAATTAGATTCCCCTCCCCTTTGTTGGAAGGTTCTTTCCTTTATTGCTATTTGTCTTTTGCTGATCCAGTTTTGTCTTGGTTCAGGAACAGCATGTAGTTTGGCAGGGGAAAGGGACACTGCACCCGGTTTCCTGTATGAGCCTAATCTGGGTAATGGCCCCAGTCTTCCGGGTTGAGATGTGGAGGGATTCCCAGCCTCCTTTTGCTCTATCTATAATGAAGCATGCTATTCGGTGGGGAAAAGAAATTGATCCTTCTGTTCACCATCTTGTTGCTACCTTCTGGCAGGTTTGTTGAAATCATGGCACCTGTCTTTTCAAGGGCGGCATGGCGCTGTGTTTGGTATCTCATACAGGTACTGTTGACGTCATTGTATTTCTGTTTGCTCTCCTTCATCCTCTCCCTCCCTCCTTGCCTCCCTCCCTCCCTCCCTCCCTCCTTCCCTCCCTTCCTCCCTCCCTCCCTCCCTTCCTCTCTCCCTCCCTCCCAACCCGTTGTATTATCTCCGACAGATAGGAGAAAAGAAATATCGACATGGGGGACAGAATGGGGGGAAGAGGGGGGGGGGGGGAGGTGAGAGGCACAGGTATGACTTGAGGCATTCATGTGACTCCAATGCTGACAGTGTGAAAAGCGGTCAAAGTCAAACTGTATTGTACAGTCTGAAAAATGGTCGACGTTAAATTGTACTTGTGCAGTCTGAAATGTAGTCAAACAGACTCAAAAACTGTCAAAGTCAACTGTGTGTTTGTGCGGTCTGAAAGTCAAACTATATTTGAATTTTGAACAGTCTGAAACGGTTTTCACCTTTGCAGAAGCAGATGCAGATCCAGGGTTCGATCCCTAGACCTTACCTGCACCCGTGTACAGAATCGAGTAGACCCCTGTGTGTTTTGAGCCCATGACCTGTGTTTTAGTCGTGACTGTTCCTTGTCGTAGGTCCCTGTAGCTGTAGGGATTCGATCTGTAGATCTGTCAAGTAGGGGTTACAGCTGTGTAGAGGTCGAAACTGCTAGGCTAGAGGTCTGTAGGCAAGTCGTAGGTCCAACTGCGTCGAGTCGGCAGTGCAACCCCGTGCAGTCAGCGGTACCAGTCCCAGTCACACTCAGTCCAGTCAAGCAAGTACCGTGAGGGACTGGGTGCACCAAGGGCCTGGTGGAAAAGGCAGACCAGCGACTTACATAAGTATAAATCAAGAGGCAGCGTCCAGCCATTCATTCACTCTGCTGCACGCCATGTGGAAGCGCTGCCAGTGCGTCTTGCGCGAGGTGGTCTGCAGATGCCCGAGGTCGAAGTGGGCAAGGAGGAGGCAGAGCAGCCATAGCTGCTAGTAGTGCTAGAGTTAGAGAGCAGCCATAGCTGCGCTAGAGTAGAGTAGCCTTCAATAGATGTGTGTATTTGTGTACAGTGAGAGTGTCTGCGCGCGTGGGATATCCAGGGAGATGCAGTGAGTGTGCGTGTGAACAAGTTGTGAGGACACAGTGTCATGGGGGATGAAGAGAAAGCGCCCAGGCGCCATAGTTAATTGAAGCGAGTTGTATTTGAACTGTGTTCTCGCCTGTAATATCTCTGAGCTTTGTGTGGGCGCCTGGCGCCAGAGTGATTTGCCATCTGTTTACATGCATGCGAAGTAAGAAGAAAGTGAGTCTGATTGCATTGGTATCAGAGCAGGTTCCTGCTGTTCCACATGCGAAGGTTGCCACGAAGAAGAAGCGCCAACAGGGCGCCAAGTCAGCACGGCAACGTAGAAGGAGGAATATCATAGCTGCGCCGCTGTACCTGCACAAGAGAATAATGAAGAGAGAGAGAGAGAGAGAGAGAGAGAGAGAGAGAGAGAGAGAGAGAGAGAGAGAGAGAGAGAGAGAGAGAGAGAGAGAGAGAGAGAGAG